AATGATAACAGATCTCTAGGAAAAAAATAATGGTATTAGTCAGGAGGCACAAAACATGCTTTTCCTCCTATGCAAGCTGTTCCTGTTCTTCCTGCCTGCCAAGAGAGAACTGATAAGTGATGAGGGGGCAGAGTATGATCTTCTTGAAAGATCATCTCTTGCATGCTTTAGAGACAGGCCACCAGTTTGTTCCAAAAGGGCTAAAATGTATCACTGTGGGGATAAGCCTGGTTCTCATAGGACTGACCAAGTCTATGACCATGCTTCACATGCTCTAAGACAAGCATTTGTGCTCTGTAGAAGAGAAATTTCCCAGGTAGAAGGATGGAAAGGAAAAAATATGCACTGCTTATGACTAGGACAACTTCAGTTTCATGAGAACAGAGGTATGTATCCCTGAACATAGTGATAGGATGCTGAAACATTGCTGTGTTCTCTAACAACAGACTGGCTGGTACCATTCATGTTTCTATCACTAGTACTGATGCTTGTGCCAGTGCAAGTCAGTGGTCAACAGCACTGTTTGGCCTAAGCACTAAGGTTAATTATTCTGGCTCAGTTCAAAAAGAAAACTAAGCCAGCACCATTTGCCCCCCTGGAATAAGCAGGATTAGGATCATACACTCAGAAGAAAAGCAAATAGGCAAATTTTTCCTTTACTCAGTGACAAGAGTCAGGACTAGTCTTGTATTCTGAACTTGCCCATGTTGGGCAAGAGTTACCAGCCAGTTTAAAGGCAGTATTGATGGGCTCAGGTCACTGGCTGACGGTACTGATCTTTGGTGTTATTTAGCAGGCAGCTACAGCATTAGCCTGCCTAGGACTTGGACACCAATCCCATCTTGGAAATTGATGCCCATTCTTCCAGGTTTACAGGTCAATTTGATTAGAACCAGGCTCCTCCCTAAAACGATTCAAGCAGGGATAACTTCAGGAAAGTATCCCTGGATTTCCCCATCCTGGTTGAGAAGAAATATCATAAGCAACAATGTGGTACCCAGCTCTTACAGAGAAACCCTCTCCCACTCCAACCCCACCCCACAAACAGAAGCTAGTAACTGTGGCCATCTGTAGGTAAAAGGAGTCAGTGGTTTTCAACCTTTTTTGTACCAGGACCCATTTGTAAACATCAATAGCCAGTACCGACCCAGTGTCTGTCACTCCCAAACCACTGCCCCCCACTCCCCACTGTGTGGGGTGTGTGAGGGGCATGGAGGCAAGGTCCCAAGCAGCCTCTCACAGGTTGGAGCTCTGTTAGCCTGCAAGGAAAAAGCCATGGTTTCCCACATTTCTCTCCTTTAAAGGTGAATCCATTTTTAAAGTTTGTTGATCCAATTTTAGAGTTTGTTTGCAACCCTTTCATACGCTCTTGTGACCCACTTTTGGGCCGTAGCCCATGAGTTGAGAAATGCTGCTTACAAAACAGGCATGGTTTGAAGCCTGATAGTTTTGAGGCTAAAGTAGTGGAGTAAAATGCTGCAATTGCTGAAAAACTGATATAAGCTGTCAGTTAATTGCAGTTAATGTAGGCCATTAACACAAAATAAATTAATGCGTTAATTTTTGTAACAAGCGTTAATTGTACACATCCATTTTGGCCAGGGGTGGGGAAAATATGGCCTGTCCCGTGCCCTCTTCAGACTCAGCCCAGCAGAGTGGACCGGCAGAACCCGCATGTGAAGGCCTGACCCGGCCCACCCCACGCCTGCTCTGGACCTCCTGCCCATACCGAGCAGAGGAAGCAGTAGCAGCAGCCGGGCAGAAGTTGCTGCTCTGCAAGAGGGAACATTGGCCCTCCCTCCTCACCGCTGCCAGGCCCTCCTTTCTGCAGTCGCCCATGCCCAGGCTGCCTAATGGCTCTTCTCCGCCACTGCCACCCAGCAGGGCAGCCGTAGCAGTGCACAGGAACCACAAGGCAGCCTGGGTGTGGCCTCCAGGTGGCTGCAGCAAGAAGGGTTGGCCTAGCAGTGGAGAGAGAGGGGCCGCTTCCCACTGCCAGCACCAGCTTCTGCCTGGTTACCAACACTGCTGCTGAGCATGCATGTGTGAGCCTGAAGCGGGCACAGGGTGGGCCAGGGTCCAGGCTGTTTGCATGGGTTCCGGCTGGTCTGCTCCATTGGGCATGAGCCCAGAGCAGGTGCGGGGCAGGTCGGGGCCAGGGCTCTGTGCTGCTGGTAGGGAGGAGCCACAGGGCATGCAGGCTCTAGGCTGTTGGGTAGAACGGTGCTGACTACTGTTAAACTGCAATCAAAATTATGTAACTGCAACCATTTTTTTCATCTCGTGATTAACTGCGATTCATTTTTTAATTTTTTGTCAGCCCTAATAAAAGTCCTTGATTTATCACTGAATTTCATTCAAAAGCTGTGCACCAGTGACTACAGCTTTCAAAGATCCCACATGCACAAAGCACGTGCACACCCACAGCGGCACCTCCTCAGACATACATTTAAAGAGTAACCATTCCCCTCCTCATTTGCACTCTGCAGGAGAGCTCTGGCAGCCAAGCAAGACATTGACAGAGCTTGAATATTTTAAAAGAGGCTAAAGACGCAGCTGAAGGAGCAACACTGTGAACAGCTGCCATACCAGGAACACCTATGAGCTACTGAAGCAGCTGTGGCTTTGAGGGGCTGACAGCAGAAAAGGAAGAAGAGGGTCAAGCTACTGCACCCCCAAGCAAGGCTTCAGTGGTAGCAGTGTCTGTACATGTGTCCAAGGAGGACACGCATGTACAGACACAGACAGGCACACACAGAGACGTTTTTAACAGGCTGTGGCTGAGATTTCCAAAGGAGGAGGTAGGAAAGGCCCAAACCCCTAGTGCCTTGCCACCCCCATGGGTGCAGCCCGTAACCAGCTGGGAGCACCAGCCCTACCACCTGTACCCCATAATCCCTTTCCAAACGGCCCTATTTTCCAATTAAGGGATTATAATCCCATTTAGAGAATACACTAAAGGTCCCTGCCGCCTTGACGATGGGTTTACTGGAAACCCCCCCGGCTTACATTAACGTTTAAGTCAGGCTTTGAATTAAACGAGGACGCAGGGAGGAGTTAATTAGGACTACAGCCGGCAGCACTAGCGCGGCAGTAAACCGCCTCTGACCTATCAGCGAGCCAGGCTGCACACTGTTTTCGCTGTGCGGCCGGACAAGGGGCGTGGGGCGGGTTTGTGGGCCGGAGCCGCTCCACAGGCCCGGGGCCCACGGCCCACGCCCTTCCCCCCACCGCTGCCGGCGGGAACTCACCATGTTTGTCCCGCGCCTGGCGCCGGAAGAGGCGACGCCATGCGGGGCCGGAAAAGGCGGACCCCTCCGTTGCCATGGAGAGGCCGCCCCAGCGGCAGCAGAGGGCCGGAGCGCAGCTTGCGCTCGGGGCCCTGGGTTGGCCGGGAACCGGAAGTGACGCCAAGACGTCTCCCAGCCCCCTGCCTGGCTTGAGAACCGAGGAGCATACGCACGGGGAAGGTACCAAGGCGCATGCGCGGGGGCAGGTGTGCTGGGATTGGTGGCCTCCGCGCCGCCGGGGCTCGGGCGCTCTAGTTCTGGCTTCTCTGCGGGCCCCGCGGAACTCTGGGCTGGCTGGATTGGGCGCGGACTGCTACGTCATCCTCAGCAGCGTCTGTGACGTGACCCCTGTGTCGGCAGTTTAAAACACCCCGTCCAGTGGCCCGGGAGCTGCACCTTTGTTGTGCCAGGACCCAGTCCTGCCCAGCGCCGCGCACTCCCGCCCCCAGTGTGTGGGGCAGAGGGGGCCCCAAGCAGCCTGCAGTTGGAAACCACGGTTTCCCACGTTTCTCTCTCCTAAAGGGGAACCCGTTTTTCAAGATTCTTCTCGACCCTTTCAGATATTCTTGGGACCCACCTTTGGGTCGGTGACCCGCGGATTCAGAAAGGCAGCTCTAACCTCCATGTAGGGCGACCATCAGGCCTGAAGCAACACAGACGAAGTAGCTGAACCTGCTGCGGGGGTTGCACCCCCTCCAATAAATTAAGACCTCAATCAGAGTCTGCATCTTTCAAAAGCTGTGGTCAGTTTCAGGGCTGTGCTGGAAAGAGAAAGGTGAGAGGAAACCCACTGCCTTCTCCCAAGATTGATCCTGGCTTCATCTTGCCCAGCTAGCTGCAGACAGCTGATCCATGCCACTGAGAAGCATCAGGCAGGTTCTTGACATTGGAACTATGAACACGACAGCCAGGGCCTCGGTTCATGGGTCAACAGAGGACAACCCAAGCAGGAAGCCGACTTCTCTAAGGAGACCAGCCCCCACTGGAGGATGGGCTTGGAGAACAGCTCTCAGTGGCAGCAGGAAGGAGGGCAGCTGATGGGGCACTTGTGCACAAGGCTGAGGAGGGAATCTTCCTCCCCCCATCATAATTTTTTCTATAAATATACTTCTCACTTTATGCCACTGTTCCCAGCAAGATGCAGGCACCAGGCTAATGCTCTAGCCTATGCTAGACTGTGACTAACTAGATGGGTTACAGGAGGTACTCCCAGAGACACTCAGTTTACATTTGGGTACAATTTCTCTTTGCCTCAAGTAATTCTACTGCCTCATCTGTATAGGTCTCTGTCACAATAAGGGATCGAGTTAGGGGGAAAAGGAAAATATGTCCTTCCTGACTAAGCTACTGTTGATAACTATCCTTTGGATATAGGAGTCTACTCTCTAGGGCTGCGTCCATATGAGCACAGAGGCTTGGGTTCCCAGGGACAAATAGCAGTGGCACACCTGGCGTCCCCCCTACTTGTCTCTGGGAATGCCTATGCCATGCCGTTCAGCATGCAGCAGGTTACCCCAGGTAAGGTAGGGGAGGTTGGGGCCAGCAATTCAGCCTGTCCTGGGGGTTAGGGTAGCTTGTCACATTTAGTTTTAGTTGTACCTGCTTGAATGGTGTTATAGTATTATTTGAACTTTTCTTTCATATTCATCTGTATTTTTGTATAGCCTCATTATTATTTGAACTGTTCTTTTGCATCTGCACTATCAGCTAGGTGTGAGCTCACTTTCACAGGCAGCTTATGTTCCAGCTTTATCAACATTGGTGTGTAGTCTGTGTTACTAGCTCAAATTAATTTGGCACTAACCAACTGAATTAGAGGGAAGACATGATTGGATGTTAATGAAAGGTGGTAAGAGGGGATTAATTAGATTTCCCCACTGCAGAGCCCTTGGAATTTCCAGTTTTCTAATCCCTTTTCTGAAAATATATTACCTGTGATGCTAGGGGAAAAATTAAATATATGGGGTAGAGGTGGAAATAACCAGGAATAGCACCCTATGGAAGCCAGTTTGGTGAAGTTCAAGTCTCCCACTGACAGAAGGCTACATGTACTGCCTACTGAGTTTTATGTTCATAAATGAAGGTAAGACCTCAGAGTTACTTTACCATTTCCTAACAGCTGAAACCTAATGAAACAGCAGAACATCTAGTGAAGGCTAGACAAGGCTATCCATACTTCTGAGAATATAGCTCTAAAAGCTGCACTAGGATTCTCTGGTCTGCTTGCTATGACATCTGCTATTGGGCAAGTTAGCCAAGTTGTCTTGTTGCCACATTAGCTGGAAGCATAAATAGCTCCTTCATTCATATTTACATCAAAACTAAAACTTCAAACCTAAAAACATCACGTTCGTTAGTTTACCTGGCAACCAACAAAGATAATTACCAAATTCATCTTTCTGTGACAAATCTGAGCTAGAACTTGGGATGAATATTCAAGGATACTTGCTTAGAAAGTTGTTGATATCAAGAAGATCCATCGTGGGGCTTGCATCTCACCCACCCTCGTTGGCAAGGTGCTAGCTCCGGGAATCTGTTTTCATGGAGCAGTGAAACAAGGAGCGTGTAAACTCTGTAGGCTTAAATGACAGCCCCATTGGAGCTGCAAGGATTGAAGTCTCTTCTGTGAAAAAGGAATCTAACCAGAGGGAAAACTTGCTGAGTCTCAAGTTCAGGACGGGCAAGTGAGAAGGTACGTGCAGGCACTCAACGGGGGGATAGTGGACTTTGGTCAAGCTGATATACAAGCCTACATCTTTGAAGCCCAGCAGATGTTCTAATAAGGTCTATAGAGGAAGCACCAGGGGAGGGGTTTCTCTAACATGATTTAGGGAATCCAGGCCTATCTGGAGCATAACACTTCCTCCTTGAGATCCATCCAGTATCAAGTTGAGAATGTAGATATGGGTTAAGGATTTTCCCTTTGTTTTGGGTAAAAAAGTTTAGCCTCAGGGGCAGAGCCATGAGCTCTCTTAGAGGTCAGCAAGTCTTACTACCAGAACTCAGCCATGCAATAGTCCTCATGATCATCTGTACAGCATCCCATCTCACCTTGTGGCAAACCCCTAGAAGTAGAGGCAGAAGTGGGAAGGCATATAAAAGGTTCTCTGTGACAAAACCAAGGCAAAATCAGATACACACAGACCATGGCCTTACATGAAGTAGAACTGGCAGTTCTTGTAAATATCTGATGAAAAAATGTTCATTCTCAGATAACCTTAGTCTGCAATTGATTGGGGAATAGAATCCTTGGCCTTCCAACTCATGGGATGCAAGGAATGAAATGTTGAGACAAGTTCATTTTGGTGTTCTGGAGGATAGGAAAGCACATCACAGACAGGTATATAAGGGACAAATGCACCACTGCCTTGGGCAGTTTGGCCTTCCTGTTTATAGGAAGGACCGTACACCATTCTTGACACAGAACTTCATAGTACTGTCTGCCAAGTTGCCCATGGCACCCTTTTATACCACAAAAGGAAGGCCTGACATGTTCTCCAAACCCACCCTACCCTGAGCACTGGTGTATTAATAGTTTTGTCCTCTGCAGCACCCAAATACTCAACTCCTGGAAGCTCTTGATATGCGCTCTCCCTTTTCACTAAGCATCTATTATAATGGCCATTGACAGGGCCAAGGGGAGAAGCAATAACCTCTTACACAGAATAGAGTCCCTCTACTACCTCAGGGAGGATTGAACCACCAAGGGTCTCTAGTGGTTCTTT